GTATAATTCATTTTTTCTTGTTATTTCTCTCCTTTATCATGTCTTTTCTGATTTCTCTAATATTTCCGTCTTTCTATAAATTTTTTTCTGTTCTTTTTCTTTTCTCCATAAATTGTAATACTCGATTTTTTTTCTGCAATGAAGTATTAAAACTTACATCAGTTCAGATGTTTTTGTTTTTTTTTATTTATTTATTTATTTTGAAAATTATTATCTCTAAATATGTACATGAACTTGTAGCACTCTGTTTTGTAATGGGTTTTTTTTCCCCAAACCTATATGATCTGGCTGATTTAATATTTATTTAAAATTTGCTAAGAATTTTATCATTTTCCTTAAAGCAATACAAGCACACACAATTAAAATAAACAAAAAAGGAAAATAATAATAGTGCTATTTGGCTATATGAAATTGGAAGCGAGAAAAAAAGAGAAAAATAAAAATCATATGAAATGAACTGTTTATTGCTCTTCTTGAATGTTTTATGCAAACCCACTAAATAATAATAATAATAAAAAAAAAAAACAGAAAATTCACACATATCAATAATATATTGAGATGGATATATATTTTTTATAAACAAATCATATCCAGTTTTAACAACTAATCTTTCTGCTTACATATGGAAGGTTGTCTTGATTTAAGGAAAACAGTATGTTTTTTATTTTTGAAGTTGGAATCATCTGGTATAAGCTACATTTTATAAAGTTGTAATCTTTGTAAGATGAAACTCTTGTATGCTTGTCTAACCAATCCATTGCTTCAACTTGATTAGTTTTATTTGATGGATAAATAGTGAAATCTGTGCTGAAAAATGAGGAATTTTCTTTCCTATTGTGTTGGTTGGTTGATTTTGTTTAGCAGCATATCAACTCAATGGGTTATTTAATGATGAAATTTAAATATTTTGAACACAATTTTATGGCTTCAACTAAATATATTTTGAATGCAATTGTATGCATTCAGCTACAGATAAAATGTATTGCAGGTCTTTTTACTATAAAAAATCTATTTTTACATTTTCATAGTGTTTTGGGGGTTCACTATTTGCCCATAGCTGGGACAGAGTGGACCTGGAAACAACAACAAATAAGAGGTCTCCAATCTCCCAATCAGAGGCTTTGCTGTTAGATGTATATTGTCATACCCAGGGCTATTGTGCAATTTGGAATTATGCAGACAGGTTTCTAAAATGAACCCATTTTTTTTTCTTTTTTAAATAAAATCTAATGGCATTAAAATTACTTATTTTATTTTGGTTAATATTTTATGACAAACAGGAAAAAATTGTGCTTATTTTGTTTTGACTTTTTCAATATTTTAAGAATAGAACAGAATTTTTAGTATTTTTTGAAGAGATGAGGGGATGCTAAAAAATTCTTGGTCCAGTCCACTTCTTGAAATCTGACTAAATGACCAAACATTAGATTTTGTGGGAGGGGAGATTCCTTCTCAGTCAGGTTGAAAACCTTTATAGCATGAGTAGTTTATTGAAATGTTTTTTTTCCCATTTATATATCACTGTTATTTTTGATTTAAAGACATATGTTCTTGGAGACTTGATTTCAGGGTCAAATTTCACTCTTGATTATTTTAACTTTTTATGCATTAAAGGAACCCCCCCCCCCACCTTGCACTTTTTTTCTAAATGGATTACGTTTGAAGGTCTCATGAACTTGTTAATATAAATAAAAAATTTGTCTGAAAATCATCAGAAGTTGTCAAGGCAAAATACTTTCTTCTGGGTTATAAAATCTAATATACTTTGATATTGTTTGTGAATTTGGTGACTTAGTAATTGTGAGTTCAATCCTTGAACCAGGCAGGGTGTACTTGGACTCTGTGGAAACAGGGCAAGCAATAACTGAGGAGTACTAAATAAGAACTAGATAAGATGTCCATAGACATTGTTCTCGTTCCACTGGCAATCTACTCCTGTAGATTAAATAAAGGCTTCTTTGGAATACCCTGACAATTACCAGAGTTGACAAGCTTTATATTGCAGTGGTAGGCCTCTATGTAATAATGTCTAAATATTCTCTTGTGTATGTTCAAGGTTTAACAAGAGCTCACATCCAAACAGTTACTGAATTTTAGAATTTAAATCTGAGTAGAAAAAATTGGTAGTTTGTTGGATTTCTGGAAAAAACATTTCTTGCTTTGTTTTAGGGATTGTCAGATTTCCTAAAATATCTCTTTTGAAATCTGGGAATGAAAAATTACAAATTTTTAAAACACAGAGAGCAATATTTTAATTTATTTTCTATTTTGGTTATTTTCTTTTTTCTCCCCCCCTCCCAACCAAACAATTTTATTTAAGAATGTGGCAAAAAACTACTAATATTCTTATTTGCATTTAGACTGTTATCTTCATCTTTGTTATCAAAATGCTTCAGGTGTTGTGCCCTCTAGCCTTCTTCAGGTGTCTGTCAATCCAGGTAGACTTCAGGTAATTTCAAATGGAACCCTTTATTTAACTCTTTAGCATTCAATATGCTAAAACCTGCCTTGTAAATATTGGCTCACAAAGTATCACTGTTTCTGACTTTCTGCATTATTTGCAATGATATTGTCATATATTATGGCAGAGTATAGATTGGGTGGGTTAAATAATTGAGAGCCCTTATTTACGGGGCGAGTTTGGCCAGGTTAAATGCTAAAGGGTTAAAAGATAAGTAGTACTAAATAAGAACAAGAAGATATTAATTGACAACATAATGAGAACAATCTATTGCTGTAGATTAAATAAGATTCAGTTCAAAATCTAGATTGACACCTGAAAAAGGCCTGAGTATAAAATGGAGGACAATAGTTTGAATGTAAATAACAATAACTGCTCATCCCAGAAATTCAGATAGAAATTCAGTTTAGAACATTTACAAAATAATTGTTTAGAAGAAAATCATGTTCATATTTGTAATTATGTTAAAATAATATTAACTCTGAAAATATGTATTATTCTAGTTTTATGACCATATTCAACAGTTGGTTGATAGAGGAAACTTGGTTTTTTTTTTTTTTTGTTTTTTTTTTTTTTCATAAAATTGCATGGATTTTTGTATCTTTTTGTAAGAGTTTGTAAGAAGCAACTGATTAAATTTGATTATTGGCCCTTTTATTAGGAAAAATCCTTATAATTACTTAGTTCTTCATTTCAAATTTGTAAGAAGACTAAGGTGGGTTGGGTGTATTTCCCTGTTGTGACAGATTTACTATAGCCAATCTTATTGTGTATGATGATTTGTAGCCTGCTGATTGGCTGAACACCAATGTAAGTACTTTTGTCAAGTCATTTATTTTTATTTTTTTTCAGTTGATGTTGTTGGGTGATGCTGTTTTTCTGACTTGTGTTCTTCCCTTACCTGTCTCTGCCTTTTTTCCACTCACCCTAACTGCTTATGGATTTCAACCTTTCCTTACATTTCACTCTAACTCTGTCTGCTCCCCAACCATCTGCCCCTTGCCTTACCCCAACCGTCCCTGCCCACACATGTAGCCTTGCCTTACCCCAACCGTCCCTGCCCACACATGTAGCCTTGCCTTACCCCAACCGTCCCTGCCCACACATGTAACCTTGCCTTACTCCAACCGTCCCTGCCCACACATGTAGCCTTGCCTTACTCTAACCATCCCTGCCCCTATACCTCTGGCCTTGCCTTACCCCAATCATCCCCCACCTCTTGCTATGCCTTACTCCACCCCACGCCCCTACACCTCTGACCCTACCTTGCCCCTCAATCAGTCCTACCCACCTCTGGCCTTGCCTCTACACTCAACAATACCCTATTTGCCCATTTCTATTTGTCTGTCAGAAACTTGCAACATGGTTTTGTTGGGCATGATATATATATATATATATATATATATATATATATATATATATATATATATTAACAAATTCTGAAATGCTTGTGTCTGTGAGACACTTTATAAAATTTTTTTTTTCTTGGCAAGTCTAAGAACTTTGTCTTATGGAATAGTAATCGTTCATTCTATGTGGATTGAAATTAATCTCTTTAAAATTGTAAGGAATTCTTCAGCTATGCCCAATACCTGTTGTTAAGCTTTGACTACAATTCAACAACCAATGAGAGAATGTGTCTCATTACATTGGTCTTTATTCTATGCTCATTCATAGCATGGCCTGATTATTTAAGTTGAGATATTAAAAGGTATTTGTTGACTATCTCCCTTTTTATTTTGATCATGTGTCTTGACATTCCTCTATTGCTTCAAGAAAATACAAACTGTTTCTTGATTGAATGTGGAGTGTTCGGGTTGAATTCTGCATCTACTGTATGTGTAGGCATGATTTGGTGCATGTAACATTCTCTTTCTAAAGTTTGTCTTTGTTGCATGTGCCATCTTTTTACACATGCTCTCTACATTTCAAAATGTATCTTTATGAATTGGTGGAGTTTTACATTTAGCACTGCAATCAGAAATAATCATTTCTTTTGAAATTTTCTTTCATGTCAGTATTGATTAATTGGGGGGGGGGTGCTATATAAATTCTTTTTAAATTAACCCCAGTATGGAAGCCAAAATAAATATGCTCATACAATGTAATTTATTAAAATGTAAAAAAAAAAACAAACAAACAAAAAAAACTTGTTATTGGGAGCTTTTTTTTCTTTTTTATATGACTCATTTAAATACTCCAGATTATGAATTTTAATTGAAAAAAAAACTTTTTTTTTTTTTTTTAATAAGTAATCATATCACGGAGTAATGGATGGTGGCTCGAATTGAGGAATCAGAGAACTGAGTTCAAATTCCAGTCAAATCCATTACATTCACTTATGTGCTAATACCCTTGGGAAAGGTATGAATCCTTTTCTTCTCCCCCCAACCAGCTATGGGTAAATATCAGGACAGATTGGGTTCTATAGCCTTGGATAGTAATAAAATGGCAACCTACTGTGGGGAAAAAAATCTGCCTCATCAGTCATGTATCGAAAGATACATGATTACCTAAGTCTGTATCATGCATGGCACAT